CTTCAATACGCAAGAGTTCTTAATCACACAAAAAAGGATGAAGTTGCCAGAGCCCTAAGCTAATGCCACTGCCTGTAGTGATGTTTCTGAGGGTGGGAGGGAGGGTCCAGTGGCAGGTCACAATGTGGAGTTGCCACAGCAGTTTTGGAATGTGGAGAGTGTCATGGCCTCTTAAAGGGCCCTGCCCCTCAGTTGTCTAAGCATGGCTGATGCACCACGTTTCCTGGACCTTTCTGAAGTTTACCACTGATGGGGACCATCCTTTACCCTCCATTCTTACTACTTAGAGTTATGTACGTTTGTGTTGATTACATAGGCCTGTTTCTTTTCTCAAACTTCAGTGACATTCAATTGAGAGGAATACGAGTTTCCCAAGAAGTTTTATGTTCCTATGTCAATTTACCACTTCATTAAGCCTATTGCATATCCTATGTGTTTTTCAGAAGTAGAAATCTTTTTATTTTTCAGTTGAGGGAATGTAGGGGATTTGCCATAATGGTTAAGATGCGTCCCAGGACACCTGCATCCAAGATCAAAGTGCCTGGAATCACGTGTTAGCTTTGTTCCCAACTTCACCTTTCTGCTGCTGCTGCCCACCATGGGAAGTAGCATAGCAGATGATGCTCCCTTAACCACCTGTGTGGGCCGCCTACACTGAGTTCCTGCTTCTTGTCTTGGCTTCTACACACAACAAGCCATTCTGGTGCTCAGGTTGTGCTGAATGTGTGATAAGTCTTTTGGATTGTCTTCAAACAAATAAGGCACATCATGTATTTTAAGGTGTTTCTATTGGGTCAAAAGCAGGAGGAATACATTGGGAGATCAGAAGCACTTGTCTCTTCCATTTCCCTCCATTCTTGCACCCTTTGCTTCCAGTAGGTGATTCACATGGGCATTCATCCTTGTCAACCATGGAAACATTATCAATGATAACATGAATCCAGCATGTTATCCAAGGTGGTATCAAGACATCTTTAGAGAAGATGAGAGATGGGACTGGTAATCCGAATAAAGATAAAATACAAACCATTGCAGAAAAAAAATGTAAAAGGATCAGAGTTTGTGGTCTACTCATAACGAATATGATTCATTGAAGTAAACTCTTCAAAAAGGAACGAATTGATACGAGGGGACAAGTAAATTTTCATGAAGTGTATGCTAAATGTCAAATAAAAATAAAACAGGATTCTTTTTCTATTGTTTCCGCTTGTACTTGATTTGATAGAAAGATTGCAACATTATTATGAAGTTAATTAAATAATAATAATTGTATCCTAAATAATTAGGGCAGGCAATATACTGAAATATGTGTTCCTTTCCTTTTTCAAGGAATAACACAGTTGAATTGACAAGTAAAATGTGAAATTAATGACTTTTCACGGTATTGATGAAGATTTAATCAATAAAAAGTAAAACTTTAGACAAGAAGGAAACAAATAAGCAAAACTTTAAAAACGTATCTGATATGAAAAACACAGGAAATGGAAAAAGGAACAAAGTAAAGGAATATGTCATGTGCAAATAAAAGCCAAACAGGTAAATAAAAACAAACCAAGAAATCAAATAACATTCATGTATGAAACCCTCTGACTGAAAGTCTACTGTTTTCCTAATAGCTAAAAGGAGAGCAAAAGAGCAAGGGCCTAGTGTGGTAGCCTAGTGGCTAAAGTCCTTGCCTTGTATGAACCAGGATCCAATACGGATATTGGTTTGAATCATGGCTGTTCCACTTCCCATCCAGCTCCCTGCTTGTGGCTTGGGAAGCAGTGGAGGATGGCCCAAAGCCTTAGGACCCAGCACCTGCATGAACCTGAGGCTGCTGGCTGCTGGCTCCTGGCTTCAGACTGGCTCAGCTGCAGCTGTTGAGGCCATTTGGGGACTAAATCAGTAGATGAGAAAGATCTCTTCTTCTCTCTGCATATCTGCCTTTCTGATAATGAACAAATAAACAAATAAATAAATATCAGAGAAGAGAGAGAGAGAGAAAGATCAAAAGTCCTTAATCAATAAGAGATAAATTGTTTTGTGTGACAAACAAGCATCTCTGTGTCTATAGCAGGGATCAGTAAGAGGGATTATTACCCAAGGCCCAACCTGTATCTCATGTCATTTCTCAGAAGAAAGACAATCACCCAGCACCTGCAGAACTTTCAGTGTTTTGGTAGCTGCTTGTCCAGGGTGTAGGCAGTAGGCTCAGATGGAAGAAGCTTCTCCTTGAGATCGTCAAGCTCCTGTTGAGTGTTGGCCAGCTGATAGCAGGTTGATTTGCATCCTAGGATCTGTTGGAGCACTGGAACATGCTGCTGTGCTGATGGTTGTGGCAGCCGTTCATCCAGGATCTAGGCAGGAGAGAAACAAGCATATGATGTTGAAAACAAACAAAGTCAAAGAGCTCAATAAGTTTTCATGGATGGCAATCGCTGTCACTCTCCATTTACTCTAGAGGATCATTTTATCAGTGCCCTTCAATACGCAAGAGTTCTTAATCACACAAAAAAGGATGAAGTTGCCAGAGCCCTAAGCTAATGCCACTGCCTGTAGTGATGTTTCTGAGGGTGGGAGGGAGGGTCCAGTAGCAGGTCCCAATGTGGAGTTGCCACAGCAGTTTTGGAATGTGGAGAGTGTCATGGCCTCTTAAAGGGCCCTGCCCCTCAGTTGTCTAAGCATGGCTGATGCACCACGTTTCCTGGACCTTTCTGAAGTTTACCACTGATGGGGACCATCCTTTACCCTCCATTCTTACTACTTAGAGTTATGTACGTTTGTGTTGATTACATAGGCCTGTTTCTTTTCTCAAACTTCAGTGACATTCAATTGATAGGAATACGAGTTTCCCAAGAAGTTTTACGTTCCTATGTCACTTTACCACTTCATGAAGCCTATTGCATATCCTATGTGTTTTTCAGAAGTAGAAATCTTTTTATTTTTCAGTTGAGGGAATGTAGGGGATTTGCCATAATGGTTAAGATGCGTCCCAGGACACCTGCATCCAAGATCAAAGTGCCTGGAATCACGTGTTAGCTTTGTTCCCAACTTCACCTTTCTGCTGCTGCTGCCCACCATGGGAAGTAGCATAGCAGATGATGCTCCCTTAACCACCTGTGTGGGCCGCCTACACTGAGTTCCTGCTTCTTGTCTTGGCTTCTACACACAACAAGCCATTCTGGTGCTCAGGTTGTGCTGAATGTGTGATAAGTCTTTTGGATTGTCTTCAAACAAATAAGGCACATCATGCAATTTAAGGTGTTTCTATTGGGTCAAAAGCAGGAGGAATACATTGGGAGATCAGAAGCACTTGTCTCTTCCATTTCCCTCCATTCTTGCACCCTTTGCTTCCAGTAGGTGATTCACATGGGCATTCATCCTTGTCAACCATGGAAACATTATCAATGATAACATGAATCCAGCATGTTATCCAAGGTGGTATCAAGACATCTTTAGAGAAGATGAGAGATGTGACTGGTAATCCGAATAAAGATAAAATACAAACCATTGCAGAAAAAAAAATGTAAAAGGATCAGAGTTTGTGGTCTACTCATAACGAATATGATTCATTGAAGTAAACTCTTCAAAAAGGAACGAATTGATACGAGGGGACAAGTAAATTTTCATGAAGTGTATGCTAAATGTCAAATAAAAATAAAACAGGATTCTTTTTCTATTGTTTCCGCTTGTACTTGATTTGATAGAAAGATCGCAACATTATTATGAAGTTAATTAAATAATAATAATTGTATCCTAAATAATTAGGGCAGGCAATATACTGAAATATGTGTTCCTTTCCTTTTTCAAGGAATAACACAGTTGAATTGACAAGTAAAATGTGAAATTAATGACTTTTCACGGTATTGATGAAGATTTAATCAATAAAAAGTAAAACTTTAGACAAGAAGGAAACAAATAAGCAAAACTTTAAAAACGTATCTGATATGAAAAAGACAGGAAATGGAAAAAGGAACAAAGTAAAGGAATATGTCATGTGCAAATAAAAGCCAAACAGGTAAATAAAAACAAACCAAGAAATCAAATAACATTCATGTATGAAACCCTCTGACTGAAAGTCTACTGTTTTCCTAATAGCTAAAAGGAGAGCAAAAGAGCAAGGGCCTAGTGTGGTAGCCTAGTGGCTAAAGTCCTTGCCTTGTATGAACCAGGATCCAATACGGATATTGGTTTGAATCATGGCTGTTCCACTTCCCATCCAGCTCCCTGCTTGTGGCTTGGGAAGCAGTGGAGGATGGCCCAAAGCCTTAGGACCCAGCACCTGCATGAACCTGAGGCTGCTGGCTGCTGGCTCCTGGCTTCAGACTGGCTCAGCTGCAGCTGTTGAGGCCATTTGGGGACTAAATCAGTAGATGAGAAAGATCTCTTCTTCTCTCTGCATATCTGCCTTTCTGATAATGAACAAATAAACAAATAAATAAATATCAGAGAAGAGAGAGAGAAAGATCAAAAGTCCTTAATCAATAAGAGATAAATTGTTTTGTGTGACAAACAAGCATCTCTGTGTCTATAGCAGGGATCAGTAAGAGGGATTATTACCCAAGGCCCAACCTGTATCTCATGTCATTTCTCAGAAGAAAGACAATCACCCAGCACCTGCAGAACTTTCAGTGTTTTGGTAGCTGCTTGTCCAGGGTGTAGGCAGTAGGCTCAGATGGAAGAAGCTTCTCCTTGAGATCGTCAAGCTCCTGTTGAGTGTTGGCCAGCTGATAGCAGGTTGATTTGCATCCTAGGATCTGTTGGAGCACTGGAACATGCTGCTGTGCTGATGGTTGTGGCAGCCGTTCATCCAGGATCTAGGCAGGAGAGAAACAAGCATATGATGTTGAAAACAAACAAAGTCAAAGAGCTCAATAAGTTTTCATGGATGGCAATCGCTGTCACTCTCCATTTACTCTAGAGGATCATTTTATCAGTGCCCTTCAATACGCAAGAGTTCTTAATCACACAAAAAAGGATGAAGTTGCCAGAGCCCTAAGCTAATGCCACTGCCTGTAGTGATGTTTCTGAGGGTGGGAGGGAGGGTCCAGTAGCAGGTCACAATGTGGAGTTGCCACAGCAGTTTTGGAATGTGGAGAGTGTCATGGCCTCTTAAAGGGCCCTGCCCCTCAGTTGTCTAAGCATGGCTGATGCACCACGTTTCCTGGACCTTTCTGAAGTTTACCACTGATGGGGACCATCCTTTACCCTCCATTCTTACTACTTAGAGTTATGTACGTTTGTGTTGATTACATAGGCCTGTTTCTTTTCTCAAACTTCAGTGACATTCAATTGATAGGAATACGAGTTTCCCAAGAAGTTTTACGTTCCTATGTCACTTTACCACTTCATGAAGCCTATTGCATATCCTATGTGTTTTTCAGAAGTAGAAATCTTTTTATTTTTCAGTTGAGGGAATGTAGGGGATTTGCCATAATGGTTAAGATGCGTCCCAGGACACCTGCATCCAAGATCAAAGTGCCTGGAATCACGTGTTAGCTTTGTTCCCAACTTCACCTTTCTGCTGCTGCTGCCCACCATGGGAAGTAGCATAGCAGATGATGCTCCCTTAACCACCTGTGTGGGCCGCCTACACTGAGTTCCTGCTTCTTGTCTTGGCTTCTACACACAACAAGCCATTCTGGTGCTCAGGTTGTGCTGAATGTGTGATAAGTCTTTTGGATTGTCTTCAAACAAATAAGGCACATCATGCAATTTAAGGTGTTTCTATTTGGTCAAAAGCAGGAGGAATACATTGGGAGATCAGAAGCACTTGTCTCTTCCATTTTCCTCCATTCTTGCACCCTTTGCTTCCAGTAGGTGATTCACATGGCCATTCATCCTTGTCAACCATGCAAACATTATCAATGATAACATGAATCCAGCATGTTATCCAAGGTGGTATCAAGACATCTTTAGAGAAGATGAGAGATGTGACTGGTAATCCGAATAAAGATAAAATACAAACCATTGCAGAAAAAAAAAATGAAAGGATCAGAGTTTGTGGTCTACTCATAACGAATATGATTCATTGAAGTAAACTCTTCAAAAAGGAACGAATTGATACGAGGGGACAAGTAAATTTTCATGAAGTGTATGCTAAATGTCAAATAAAAATAAAACAGGATTCTTTTTCTATTGTTTCCGCTTGTACTTGATTTGATAGAAAGATTGCAATATTATTATGAAGTTAATTAAATAATAATAATTGTATCCTAAATAATTAGGGCAGGCAATATACTGAAATATGTGTTCCTTTCCTTTTTCAAGGAATAACACAGTTGAATTGACAAGTAAAATGTGAAATTAATGACTTTTCACGGTATTGATGAAGATTTAATCAATAAAAAGTAAAACTTTAGACAAGAAGGAAACAAATAAGCAAAACTTTAAAAACGTATCTAATATGAAAAAGACAGGAAATGGAAAAAGGAACAAAGTAAAGGAATATGTCATGCGCAAATAAAAGCCAAACAGGTAAATAAGAACAAACCAAGAAATCAAATAACATTCATGTATTAAACATTCTGACTGAAAGTCTACTGTTTTCCTAATAGCTAAAAAGAGAGCAAAAGAGAAAGGGCCTAGTGTGGTAGCCTAGTGGCTGAAGTCCTTGCCTTGTATGAACCAGGATCCAATACGGATATTGGTTCGAATCATGGCTGTTCCACTTCCCATCCAGCTCCCTGCTTGTGGCTTGGGAAGCAGTGGAGGATGGCCCAAAGCCTTAGGACCCAGCACCTGCATGAACCTGAGGCTGCTGGCTGCTGGCTCCTGGCTTCAGACTGGCTCAGCTGCAGCTGTTGAGGCCATTTGGGGACTAAATCAGTAGATGAGAAAGATCTCTTCTTCTCTCTGCATATCTGCCTTCCTGATAATAAACAAATAAACAAATAAATAAATATCAGAGAAGAGAGAGAGAGAAAGATCAAAAGTCCTTAATCAATAAGAGATAAATTGTTTTGTGTGACAAACAAGCATCTCTGTGTCTATAGCAGGGATCAGTAAGAGGGATTATTACCCAAGGCCCAACCTGTATCTCATCTCATTTCTCAGAAGAAAGACAATCACCCAGCACCTGCAGAACTTTCAGTGTTTTGGTAGCTGCTTGTCCAGGGTGTAGGCAGTAGGCTCAGATGGAAGAAGCTTCTCCTTGAGATCGTCAAGCTCCTGTTGAGTGTTGGCCAGCTGATAGCAGGTTGATTTGCATCCTAGGATCTGTTGGAGCACTGGAACATGCTGCTGTGCTGATGGTTGTGGCAGCCGTTCATCCAGGATCTAGGCAGGAGAGAAACAAGCATATGATGTTGAAAACAAACAAAGTCAAAGAGCTCAATAAGTTTTCATGGATGGCAATCGCTGTCACTCTCCATTTACTCTAGAGGATCATTTTATCAGTGCCCTTCAATACGCAAGAGTTCTTAATCACACAAAAAAGGATGAAGTTGCCAGAGCCCTAAGCTAATGCCACTGCCTGTAGTGATGTTTCTGAGGGTGGGAGGGAGGGTCCAGTAGCAGGTCACAATGTGGAGTTGCCACAGCAGTTTTGGAATGTGGAGAGTGTCATGGCCTCTTAAAGGGCCCTGCCCCTCAGTTGTCTAAGCATGGCTGATGCACCACGTTTCCTGGACCTTTCTGAAGTTTACCACTGATGGGGACCATCCTTTACCCTCCATTCTTACTACTTAGAGTTATGTACGTTTGTGTTGATTACATAGGCCTGTTTCTTTTCTCAAACTTCAGTGACATTCAATTGATAGGAATACGAGTTTCCCAAGAAGTTTTACGTTCCTATGTCACTTTACCACTTCATTAAGCCTATTGCATATCCTATGTGTTTTTCAGAAGTAGAAGTATTTTTATTTTTCAGTTGAGGGAATGTAGGGGATTTGCCATAATGGTTAAGATGCGTCCCAGGACACCTGCATCCAAGATCAAAGTGCCTGGAATCACGTGTTAGCTTTGTTCCCAACTTCACCTTTCTGCTGCTGCTGCCCACCATGGGAAGTAGCATAGCAGATGATGCTCCCTTAACCACCTGTGTGGGCCGCCTACACTGAGTTCCTGCTTCTTGTCTTGGCTTCTACACACAACAAGCCATTCTGGTGCTCAGGTTGTGCTGAATGTGTGATAAGTCTTTTGGATTGTCTTCAAACAAATAAGGCACATCATGCAATTTAAGGTGTTTCTATTGGGTCAAAAGCAGGAGGAATACATTGGGAGATCAGAAGCACTTGTCTCTTCCATTTTCCTCCATTCTTGCACCCTTTGCTTCCAGTAGGTGATTCACATGGCCATTCATCCTTGTCAACCATGGAAACATAATCAATGATAACATGAATCCAGCATGTTATCCAAGGTGGTATCAAGACATCTTTAGAGAAGATGAGAGATGTGACTGGTAATCCGAATAAAGATAAAATACAAACCATTGCAGAAAAAAAAATGTAAAAGGATCAGAGTTTGTGGTCTACTCATAACGAATATGATTCATTGAAGTAAACTCTTCAAAAAGGAACGAATTGATACGAGGGGACAAGTAAATTTTCATGAAGTGTATGCTAAATGTCAAATAAAAATAAAACAGGATTCTTTTTCTATTGTTTCCGCTTGTACTTGATTTGATAGAAAGATGCAATATTATTATGAAGTTAATTAAATAATAATAATTGTATCCTAAATAATTAGGGCAGGCAATATACTGAAATATGTGTTCCTTTCCTTTTTCAAGGAATAACACAGTTGAATTGACAAGTAAAATGTGAAATTAATGACTTTTCACGGTATTGATGAAGATTTAATCAATAAAAAGTAAAACTTTAGACAAGAAGGAAACAAATAAGCAAAACTTTAAAAACGTATCTGATATGAAAAAGACAGGAAATGGAAAAAGGAACAAAGTAAAGGAATATGTCATGCGCAAATAAAAGCCAAACAGGTAAATAAAAACAAACCAAGAAATCAAATAACATTCATGTATGAAACCCTCTGACTGAAAGTCTACTGTTTTCCTAATAGCTAAAAGGAGAGCAAAAGAGCAAGGGCCTAGTGTGGTAGCCTAGTGGCTAAAGTCCTTGCCTTGTATGAACCAGGATCCAATACGGATATTGGTTCGAATCATGGCTGTTCCACTTCCCATCCAGCTCCCTGCTTGTGGCTTGGGAAGCAGTGGAGGATGGCCCAAAGCCTTAGGACCCAGCACCTGCATGAACCTGAGGCTGCTGGCTGCTGGCTCCTGGCTTCAGACTGGCTCAGCTGCAGCTGTTGAGGCCATTTGGGGACTAAATCAGTAGATGAGAAAGATCTCTTCTTCTCTCTGCATATCTGCCTTTCTGATAATAAACAAATAAACAAATAAATAAATATCAGAGGAGAGAGAGAGAGAGAGAGAAAGATCAAAAGTCCTTAATCAATAAGAGATAAATTGTTTTGTGTGACAAACAAGCATCTCTGTGTCTATAGCAGGGATCAGTAAGAGGGATTATTACCCAAGGCCCAACCTGTATCTCATCTCATTTCTCAGAAGAAAGACAATCACCCAGCACCTGCAGAACTTTCAGTGTTTTGGTAGCTGCTTGTCCAGGGTGTAGGCAGTAGGCTCAGATGGAAGAAGCTTCTCCTTGAGATCGTCAAGCTCCTGTTGAGTGTTGGCCAGCTGATAGCAGGTTGATTTGCATCCTAGGATCTGTTGGAGCACTGGAACATGCTGCTGTGCTGATGGTTGTGGCAGCCGTTCATCCAGGATCTAGGCAGGAGAGAAACAAGCATATGATGTTGAAAACAAACAAAGTCAAAGAGCTCAATAAGTTTTCATGGATGGCAATCGCTGTCACTCTCCATTTACTCTAGAGGATCATTTTATCAGTGCCCTTCAATACGCAAGAGTTCTTAATCACACAAAAAAGGATGAAGTTGCCAGAGCCCTAAGCTAATGCCACTGCCTGTAGTGATGTTTCTGAGGGTGGGAGGGAGGGTCCAGTGGCAGGTCACAATGTGGAGTTGCCACAGCAGTTTTGGAATGTGGAGAGTGTCATGGCCTCTTAAAGGGCCCTGCCCCTCAGTTGTCTAAGCATGGCTGATGCACCACGTTTCCTGGACCTTTCTGAAGTTTACCACTGATGGGGACCATCCTTTACCCTCCATTCTTACTACTTAGAGTTATGTACGTTTGTGTTGATTACATAGGCCTGTTTCTTTTCTCAAACTTCAGTGACATTCAATTGATAGGAATGCGCGTTTCCCAAGAAGTTTTCCGTTCCTATGTCACTTTACCACTTCATTAAGCCTATTGCATATCCTATGTGCTTTTTCAGAAGTAGAAATCTTTTTATTTTTCAGTTGAGGGAATGTAGGGGATTTGCCATAATGGTTAAGATGTGTCCCAGGACACCTGCATCCAAGATCAAAGTGCCTGGAATCACGTGTTAGCTTTGTTCCCAACTTCACCTTTCTGCTGCTGCTGCCCACCATGGGAAGTAGCATAGCAGATGATGCTCCCTTAACCACCTGTGTGGGCCGCCTACACTGAGTTCCTGCTTCTTGTCTTGGCTTCTACACACAACAAGCCATTCTGGTGCTCAGGTTGTGCTGAATGTGTGATAAGTCTTTTGGATTGTCTTCAAACAAATAAGGCACATCATGCAATTTAAGGTGTTTCTATTGGGTCAAAAGCAGGAGGAATACATTGGGAGATCAGAAGCACTTGTCTCTTCCATTTTCCTCCATTCTTGCACCCTTTGCTTCCAGTAGGTGATTCACATGGCCATTCATCCTTGTCAACCATGGAAACATTATCAATGATAACATGAATCCAGCATGTTATCCAAGGTGGTATCAAGACATCTTTAGAGAAGATGAGAGATGGGACTGGTAATCCGAATAAAGATAAAACACAAACCATTGCAGAAAAAAATATATAAAAGGATCAGAGTTTGTGGTCTACTCATAACGAATATGATTCATTGAAGTAAACTCTTCAAAAAGGAACGAATTGATACGAGGGGACAAGTAAATTTTCATGAAGTGTATGCTAAATGTCAAATAAAAATAAAACAGGATTCTTTTTCTATTGTTTCCGCTTGTACTTGATTTGATAGAAAGATTGCAATATTATTATGAAGTTAATTAAATAATAATAATTGTATCCTAAATAATTAGGGCAGGCAATATACTGAAATATGTGTTCCTTTCCTTTTTCAAGGAATAACACAGTTGAATTGACAAGTAAAATGTGAAATTAATGACTTTTCACGGTATTGATGAAGATTTAATCAATAAAAAGTAAAACTTTAGACAAGAAGGAAACAAATAAGCAAAACTTTAAAAACGTATCTAATATGAAAAAGACAGGAAATGGGAAAAGGAACAAAGTAAAGGAATATGTCATGTGCAAATAAAAGCCAAACAGGTAAATAAGAACAAACCAAGAAATCAAATAACATTCATGTATTAAACCCTCTGACTGAAAGTCTACTGTTTTCCTAATAGCTAAAAAGAGAGCAAAAGAGAAAGGGCCTAGTGTGGTAGCCTAGTGGCTAAAGTCCTTGCCTTGTATGAACCAGGATCCAATACGGATATTGGTTCGAATCATGGCTGTTCCACTTCCCATCCAGCTCCCTGCTTGTGGCTTGGGAAGCAGTGGAGGATGGCCCAAAGCCTTAGGACCCAGCACCTGCATGAACCTGAGGCTGCTGGCTGCTGGCTCCTGGCTTCAGACTGGCTCAGCTGCAGCTGTTGAGGCCATTTGGGGACTAAATCAGTAGATGAGAAAGATCTCTTCTTCTCTCTGCATATCTGCCTTTCTGATAATAAACAAATAAATAAATATCAGAGAAGAGAGAGAGAGAGAGAGAGAGAGAGAAAGATCAAAAGTCCTTAATCAGTAAGAGATAAATTGTTTTGTGTGACAAACAAGCATCTCTGTGTCTATAGCAGGGATCAGTAAGAGGGATTATTACCCAAGGCCCAACCTGTATCTCATCTCATTTCTCAGAAGAAAGACAATCACCCAGCACCTGCAGAACTTTCAGTGTTTTGGTAGCTGCTTGTCCAGGGTGTAGGCAGTAGGCTCAGATGGAAGAAGCTTCTCCTTGAGATCGTCAAGCTCCTGTTGAGTGTTGGCCAGCTGATAGCAGGTTGATTTGCATCCTAGGATCGGTTGGAGCACTGGAACATGCTGCTGTGCTGATGGTTGTGGCAGCCGTTCATCCAGGATCTAGGCAGGAGAGAAACAAGCATATGATGTTGAAAACAAACAAAGTCAAAGAGCTCAATAAGTTTTCATGGATGGCAATCGCTGTCACTCTCCATTTACTCTAGAGGATCATTTTATCAGTGCCCTTCAATACGCAAGAGTTCTTAATCACACAAAAAAGGATGAAGTTGCCAGAGCCCTAAGCTAATGCCACTGCCTGTAGTGATGTTTCTGAGGGTGGGAGGGAGGGTCCAGTAGCAGGTCACAATGTGGAGTTGCCACAGCAGTTTTGGAATGTGGAGAGTGTCATGGCCTCTTAAAGGGCCCTGCCCCTCAGTTGTCTAAGCATGGCTGATGCACCACGTTTCCTGGACCTTTCTGAAGTTTACCACTGATGGGGACCATCCTTTACCCTCCATTCTTACTACTTAGAGTTATGTACGTTTGTGTTGATTACATAGGCCTGTTTCTTTTCTCAAACTTCAGTGACATTCAATTTAGAGGAATACGAGTTTCCCAAGAAGTTTTATGTTCCTATGTCACTTTACCACTTCATGAAGCCTATTGCATATCCTATGTGTTTTTCAGAAGTAGAAATATTTTTATTTTTCAGTTGAGGGAATGTAGGGGATTTGCCATAATGGTTAAGATGCGTCCCAGGACACCTGCATCCAAGATCAAAGTGCCTGGAATCACGTGTTAGCTTTGTTCCCAACTTCACCTTTCTGCTGCTGCTGCCCACCATGGGAAGTAGCATAGCAGATGATGCTCCCTTAACCACCTGTGTGGGCCGCCTACACTGAGTTCCTGCTTCTTGTCTTGGCTTCTACACACAACAAGCCATTCTGGTGCTCAGGTTGTGCTGAATGTGTGATAAGTCTTTTGGATTGTCTTCAAACAAATAAGGCACATCATGCAATTTAAGGTGTTTCTATTGGGTCAAAAGCAGGAGGAATACATTGGGAGATCAGAAGCACTTGTCTCTTCCATTTTCCTCCATTCTTGCACCCTTTGCTTCCAGTAGGTGATTCACATGGGCATTCATCCTTGTCAACCATGGAAACATTATCAATGATAACATGAATCCAGGATGTTATCCAAGGTGGTATCAAGACATCTTTAGAGAAGATGAGAGATGTGACTGGTAATCCGAATAAAGATAAAACACAAACCATTGCAGAAAAAAATATATAAAAGGATCAGAGTTTGTGGTCTACTCATAACGAATATGATTCATTGAATTAAACTCTTCAAAAAGGAACGAATTGATACGAAGGGACAAGTAAATTTTCATGAAGTGTATGCTAAATGTCAAATAAAAATAAAACAGGATTCTTTTTCTATTGTTTCCGCTTGTACTTGATTTGATAGAAAGATTGCAATATTATTAGTATGAAGTTAATTAAATAATAATAATTGTATCCTAAATAATTAGGGCAGGCAATATACTGAAATATGTGTTCCTTTCCTTTTTCAAGGAATAACACAGTTGAATTGACAAGTAAAATGTGAAATTAATGACTTTTCACGGTATTGATGAAGATTTAATCAATAAAAAGTAAAACTTTAGACAAGAAGGAAACAAATAAGCAAAACTTTAAAAACGTATCTAATATGAAAAAGACAGGAAATGGAAAAAGGAACAAAGTAAAGGAATATGTCATGCGCAAATAAAAGCCAAACAGGTAAATAAAAACAAACCAAGAAATCAAATAACATTCATGTATGAAACCCTCTGACTGAAAGTCTACTGTTTTCCTAATAGCTAAAAGGAGAGCATAAGAGCAAGGGCCTAGTGTGGTAGCCTAGTGGCTAAAGTCCCTGCCTTGTATGAACCAGGATGCAATACGGATATTGGTTCGAATCATGGCTGTTCCACTTCCCATCCAGCTCTCTGCTTGTGGCTTGGGAAGCAGTGGAGGATGGCCCAAAGCCTTAGGACCCAGCACCTGCATGAACCTGAGGCTGCTGGCTGCTGGCTCCTGGCTTCAGACTGGCTCAGCTGCAGCTGTTGAGGCCATTTGGGGACTAAATCAGTAGATGAGAAAGATCTCTTTTTCTCTCTGCATAAATGCTGTTTAGTTAGCTCCTCTACATGCCTTCTCCACCCCCTCCTTGTTCTACGATCAAGCAGAAAGCTGTGTACCTTCAATACAGTAGGGTTAATTTATGCATCGCAAAATAGCTTTCCGCATAGCTAACCAAGTATGTGGGCTTGTGGCGTATAGTGCATTAGTTGCCACAGAGACTGACAGAGGAAGAAGGTGTGACGCTGGCCCTAAAGGCATGGGCCTTGCTAGCCTAATTTTCCCAAAATGAAATTCTCAAAATTCTATTACTGTAAGCATTTGCACATTATAATTGATACATGCCTCATTTTCTTGAAAGTTGCTATGGGAAGGCTACAAATAGGGTGTATATCCAAAAAAGGACAAAAGCCATCAAAATGATGCCATTTAAAGCATTAAATTATAACATACAGTATTTAATCGTCCTACACAAATTTTAATTCAATATACTGAAATCTCTAGGTGAGTGATGCATCATTTTATTACTATATGCTGTGTTGTGTTGTTGTTGTTGTTGTTGTTCTTGGTCAACTTTCTTTGGTAACCTTTACTCATATCAACTTGGCAACTCATTGTATTTATTACATGTCGATATGTGGTTACCACTGCAAAACTCAGTTCGTTAGGCCATTTGAAGCCAATAATTTGTATGCCTCATACCCCCTAAATTCTATTTTCCTTTCTCAAGGCAATACTCTATATAGCTCTCTCTCATGGACACAATAGATGCTAAGTGCATCACAGACATAAGTTATCAACCATTTTATACAATGTAACATACATGTTATTAAAAATACTGGCCACAACATTGAATCAACCAACAATATAAAGTGATATTGCGTTGTAGGTACAAGGATGAGTATACACAGTTGCATTTTTTTAATATTTTGGATTTAGCTGCATGGAGAGGATTTCATATGCCCCTAAAGCCCATCGCTGGGTAGACTGAGTCCCAGAATAACATTCCATGCTTACAATTGTCCTCACCGCCAAAGCACTCAACCATTGAAACTGTTGCGTGGCCTTGGAGTACTGGTTGTAACCCAGAGGATAGCAATTCATCACTTTTGGGACATGGATAACAGTGTGTTTCTGCCTCTCAGTGGTTGTGCTTTCTCTACTTCTTGCAGACTGAGTTGTTCTCTCCAGCACCTCTTGGTTTTCCTCTTGTTCTATCAGCTGTATCATTCTCGAGCTGTGTTATGACTAGAGTTTAATCTTGTCATCCCAACCCATTGCTTGTACTGATGTTGGCAATGGGGAATGCATAAGGAACAATCACTATGCCCACAAACAAGTGGGATCACTTGTTTTGGGTCCACAGTGCTAGTAACACACACACATACACACACATACACACACACACAGATTTACATAAATCCACACATAGCTACACATCAACACAGAGATATATCCACCAGTAGCCCCACCCACTAATAGGTAAGCCCAACTAGCCCCTCAGATCCTTACATAAGTATTACAGACTACAGCATGCCAAAGCCAACCCATTACATAACAGCTGTGGGGGCAGGTGGCCAAGAAGGTGGGCTTGAATACATGACAATGAATGCCAAACAGGCACACAAATAAAGGGGCCAGAGCCTTAACAGTTGATAATTTTTGATCTTCAGTTACTCAAGCTCATCTTCATAAGAGAGTTTGGTAAGTAGCAGGGTAAAAATTCAAAGAACATAAATCATTGTCTATTACACACAAACAACTCTACAGTTGAGAAAGAATTTTTAAGATAAGTAGCATTCAATATAGTGGAAAAAAACCTTAATTAAATATCTTGGGACAAAATTGATCCAAAAATGAGAAAAATCTCTATGATACATGATGCAAATAACAGAGCATTAAAGAAAGATACAGAAGAAGTTATTAAAGGGTGAAGAAATCTGTTATGCTAAATGACTGGTAGACACATTTATCAAAATGATCATATCATCAATAGTAATCTACAGATTCCATATGACCCCCAAATCCTTACATTCGTCTCATTAATAGAAAAGATGATACAAAAATTTACATGGAAAATATAGTTTCCAAATAGCCAAAACATGTTTAAACAATACAAACAACGCTGGAGGAAACATAATACCATCTTGTAAGATGTACTAGAAGACATCTTATAGTGGTAACCAAAACAGCATGGCATTGATACAAAAAAAGAGAAGATACATAAGAAAATAGGAAGTCTTAAAATGATGCCACACATCTAAAGCCAACAACAACAAAAGAACGAAAAACAACTCAGGGAGAAAGGGTAGTCTCTTCAACAAAAACTGTTGGGACAACTGAGTATCAGTCTCTGTAAGTAAGACACTAGACTCCTATGTTTCACCTTATACAAAAATCAGCTCCAAATGGATCCGAATCTACACCTACAGTCAGGTACCAACAAACTACTAGAAGAAAACACAGAGAACATCATACAAAGGCTTTTTCTTTTTAAACAAGACATCATATGCACAGGCAGTTAAAAAGAAAATAGACAAATAGGATCATATGTAACCAGGAAGCTTCCTTACAACAAGGGGAATGGCCAGTAAATTGTGTAGGCAACCAACAGAAGGGGAGAAAATCTTTGCATTTTACAAAATAGAGGGGCTAATAACTAAGATTTACTAAGAGTTTCAGAACATCAACAATAGCAAAACAAGTGACACTGTTAAGAAATGGTTAAAGGTGATGAACAGATATTTCTGCAAACATGAAATCCAAAGGGGTATTGGCCACATAAAAAAAAAAATGCTCCAGTTCCCCAGGCATCAAGGAAATACAAATTAAAACCACAGCAAAGTCCCACATAACTCCAGTGATAATGACCTACATGAAGAAGTTGACAAACAATTATTGCAATTATGTCAGGGGAAAAAGCACCCCGATTCAGTAATATCGGGAATGTAAACCAATACA